TTTTTGGTGCGAACTAGCTGACTTCTTTAGCTTTCTCCAATGCAACCTAGAGCAAGATCTGTCTCAAGTACCATTTTCAAAAGGTCAACATTCTCAAATTTATTTCTGTCCTAGGATCTACTGAGTGTGTTTCTCTCATCCCTTAGTAAGGTGTTTTCTAAAAGCGGCCAAGCAACTGAGACACAAATTCTGTGGAGTTCACTCCCCCTTTGAAACTTACTGGTGTTTAAAAGCCTGTGTGAATTACTGAAGCTGTTTGCTGCATAAAAGAGAAATTTCCCCATGTCTGTATAATTGATTTCCATGAGAAATTCTAGTGGTCCATAGGCTTATGCAGATACTGGTGTTCTTTATTTGACATGCTAGCAGTTTTGCAGCATGTTAATTTAAGAAAGTTGCTTTTCTAGTTCCTGTTTAGTTTAGTAATGGTGACTACTTTTTTCAGGAGATTATTTTTTCTTCTGGTAATCGCTGCCTGTCTTATTTGTTCTGAGGAGAACCCATTCGTATGGGCTACCAAATGTAATTTTATAGAAACCCATTTTAAAGGTAGGACAAAGTTCAAAAAATGTTCTATAGGAATTACCAAAGCAAATTCCTTTTATTTATTTTACAGCTCCCCAAACTGTGCTACACTCTTCACTGTACATATAAATTGTACGTGGTTCTTTCCCCCAGAGAATTTACAGTCTATTTTGTCATATTATACAATGAAGGGAAACCACATCTGTGGGTTTGAGTAGGAGGGAGAGGAAAGACAAAGCAATATGATTATATTTCCTAACCACCACATCCATGAATTGATCAGTTTTAATTTTAATAAATCTTGGTCATTCAAGATTTATTAAAAAAAAAAAAAAAAAAAAAACTGCTCAGCTGTGCTATTCACATACTTTGCTGAGCAACCTTGTATTCCACAATATCTTAACTGGAGATCAGATAAAGTGCATGAGTTAACAGCCCCTTATTTAAATCTCTGGGTGCTGTGAATTCGGTATCAACTATATAATTCCTTTGTATGCTATTGATGGTCAGAATTTGTTAACAAGGTGCAGGCCCTTGCTTGAAGTGTGATTTAGGGGAGACCATGAGGGTTCTTTTTTGGAGAGCAAGCATGGGGTCTCTTTTTTGTGTGTTTTTTTAAATTACAAACATGTGCTTAGTGTGTGATAAGTACATTTAAAAAAAAAAAAAGAGAGAGATAAAGTAAAGCATTATTGTTTGAGAATAGTCCTGCTCTGGCAAGGAAATGAACTGGACTAAATTGATGTGTTCTGTCTCTAGCCGCTAATTCTATAAACCTTGTTTATAGTAGTAATACTTATATTTTCATTTTTTTCTTTACAAGATCAAAGTTTAATCACTCCAGTGTTTTGATTATATATAGGTTTTCCTTTTAGGATGTCTATTCAGTCAAACAAATTATTTAACTTAGAAGTATAGTAAGATCCCTATTATCTAAATTTAAGCAACGTTGGTAAGGTTATTTGGGCATTTGTATAATGGAGCGTTACTGGCAAAGAAGTCTTTAGGTAGGGGAATTCTTTGCAGTGCATGATATTGAGGGTTTAGATAATCAGAATCTTTCCGTACCTTCAGTATGTATGGAGTTGGGTGCTGAAGTACATTTCCACTTACGTGACGTGATTCTAAAAGAAATTCACACCGTTAGTCTCTAGGTGGCAGCACCAGATACTATTTTGCATCTGAAGAAGTGAGGTTCTTACCCACGAAAGCTTATGCTCCCAATACTTCTGTTAGTCTTAAAGGTGCCACAGGACCCTCTGTTGCTATTTTCCTGTTGTTTCACAAAACCTCTAATGAGCAAAGGTATAAGTATATAAACTTTTCTGTTTGCATAGCTTCCAAAAAACGCTGATTTTAAGACTAATCTCAATTTTTTAAAGATAATAATTTTAGGTAGTCTACAGAAATTAGTCAATCTGTTACCCTATCTCCCATAGTTGCCCTAAAAACTGACACTCCTTATGACTTCTGCTTTGTTTATGCTCACCACTTTAGTCTTTGGAGGAAAAAGCAGCCCTCTTCCCCCCCCACCCCCAACTCACCTACAAAAGTTTTAACTTCAAATTATTTTAGTAACCAAACCAAAATAGTATAAACTGTGATCATTCATTTAGTATTTTAAAACAACAATTACAACTTCAATGGCAACGTCCAGACCTTTCTTTTCTTGTATATTTCTGTCATACAAAGGTATGTCTCTTTGGTTTATCTTCACCATTACTTAAATTCTGAAGGATTTTTTTTTTAAATCACAAATACATCCTCTCCATTTTTTAAGGCTAAAAAACTGACCTGTAGTCCAGAGCCTTTAATGATAGTAAAGTGTTCAGTATGAAACTAAATCTGAAATAATTGGCAAAATCATATGGGTTTGCCAATGTCATGGAAAGATAAGAGTCAAAAGCAAAAGTTTATTGCTTACAACTCTTGGGGCCTTCTTTTTAAAAAAAATGTATTACAAAGGGAAGAGGAGCAGTTTTTCCATTCTTTAAATATTCCATGCTGTGGTTTTGTTTACCAAAATAGGGCATTCTGCCTTGCTGTGGAGGCTGCAACTTGGTGTTCTGAAATGGATTAAGTAACCAAGTAACAATCCATGAAAGGAAATAATAGATCATATAGGACCCAATTCAGCAAGAAAATCAATTAATGTAGGCATGTTTTTTAAGCACCTGATGAGTCCCATTGATTCAGTGGGACTATTCACATGGATTAAGTAAGGTATACTTTGCTGAATCATCACCATGATTCTTCTGTTGTTTTCCCCAATCAAAATAGCTAGTCAAATGATAAAGATTTTTTTAAAGAAGTAGAAGAAGATTACCTATTTGTTTGAATTTTTACCCATGTGTCTCTACCTACCCTGTCCCGCCATTTTTCACAACCTGAAAGTTGGAAAATCAGAGTTTAACTAAAGTCTGTGGACTTCCTCAGAAAGGGCAAAATATGATATCCCTTCTTTAATTTGTATTTAGTGAAAGGGATTATCTAAGTGTAGTAAAAGATCCTTTGAGGAAGAATTAAAGATACATTTGTAATTGGAATTTACTGCTATTTCTACATTAAAGTAGCCATCATTACCTTTTACTCCATTTCTACATTTCCAACAAAGAGAGAGCGTTCATATGTCCTTGCACTCATCGTTATTGTCTTAGACCTCAGATAGCCCACCTTTTGTTTTTCCCTCTGAGAATCTGACGTATAAAGAAAATGTTGAGGAGGAGGAGAGAAATTTTAAATAAAACTTTTATCTACTACTTGTCTTGCAGAACATTTGTCTTTTTCAAAGCATACAGATGAGCTTATTTTTAAAAAAACATGCTGTCTCTCTTAAGGGACCCTGTGTACCATGGAGTGTGCGACAGTTGCTATTAGAAATGTTCTTTTATTTCTAATGACCTGTAAAAATCTATACTAAGTTTAAAAATCTAATTTGGTATGATGTTAGCCTTTATTCATGTTAATTGCCTTTGTGTAAAATATAAATATATATAGATATATAATAGGAAATTCTTAAAACGCTGGTCTGGGATAAGTTTTTAATTGAAATTAAATAGGTTAAATTGGTATTTTGTTTGCAATACACTTCTTTCTCTTGCTTAAATCTGACCCATTTATTAGTTATAGAAAAAAATAGTGTAATGATTAAAAAATTAGTTGTAGAATTTTTTATTTTGTGATAAATTTTTAAATGGTGTTATCATACAAGTTTAATTCAGTTTTGTGCCAAGGTGAGTTCTTTGGGTCTATAAGTATTGTTTCTTTTCACTTGGTAAGACAAAGACTTCAGTCTTATATAGAAGTGGAGCTGGATACTCATCCTTTTCCAACTTCCTTAAAATCATTGCTAAATTGTTGCATTTCACACTTACTTAAATAATGTGAGATGACACATTTTACTTCCTTACTTCGCTTAATTTTCTTAAACTTTCAGTTTATTCTGAAAATATTCCTTTTTAGACATGTTTTCTAAGGCCTTTTTCTTTTATAATAAAGTAAGCCATTGTTCCTGAACATTTTGTCATATGTCCGTATTAGAATATAAATTTTGATGGACATTTATCTAGATTGTCTTTACCTGGGTTAAAAATAAATTGCAGATTAAGTAACTAGTCCTTTTTATTTAAAAAAAAAAAAAAGAGTTAAACACGCTGCTAAAAACATGTCAAGAAATGTGAAATTCATCAGCTTTACTTTGACCCTCAGATAACTAGGGAAAATGAACTTTGTGCTTGTGTTGGTTTTTTTTTCTTTTTATTGAGTCAGTATTTTTAGGATTTTTTTTATATATATTTATTTGTTTAAATTCTTGTGTTCTGGCAACCAAAAATAAATCATTTTGTCTCCAACACTGCCTTTTTAAATGCTGCTCCTGAATTTTAACCACTGCATTAGATTGAAACCTACATGCTGTTAACCACTGAGCCAAAATGAAATCGACCACTGCATTGAAATCAGAGTTGGCAGTTGTATACGGACTTGAAGGAGTTGGTAATAGCAGTGCACCCGTGTTTCTTTAATGGGGTTTTTATTCTCTGTTTTCAGTTTTAATGGTCCCATTTTGATTTAAAGACTGTTTCTTAATAACGATGCACATTTTATTGAAATATTTTCAGTGTAACTTAAAAAGAAAATAACAATAAAACCATCCGCTAGGAGTGGTTTCCTCAGAAACAAAATGTTCTGTTGCATACTCCCATGATGGATAATGCAGTGTGCTTCTTTTATTTATAAAGCAATCTTGTATAAAAAGATAAGTGATTTCTTCGTGTTACATGAACCTTATCTTAGGTTAAACATTGTAAAATGTATTTATATTTTTTAAAGCAATCTTTTCCTGAGGACAGATTTTTACTTTCTGAATTTACATTTTTGTGACCCATTTTGTAGCTGTTGTACCAAATCTAAGGGAAAAAAACTGACCTAGCTGAATTGCTTACTTTGGTCTTGGAATTTTTATTTTTTATTAATAGGACTGGATCCCTCCCAATTCAAAGTCCATCACCATTACCATAAAGATGAGGAGAATGATGCCTTGCTTGGTGGCCCAGCTCAGCTCACTGATGAGGAGAAATATAGGGATTGTGAAAGATTCAAGTTTTCCTGTCCGAGATGTGGAACAGAGAACATTTATGACAATGTCTTTGATGGTTCGGTTAGTTTTTGGTCTTTTTGTTTCCATGTAGGTTTGAAAAAAAGGCTTCCTGTAGAAAAAGGAGCTTTTCAAACAAGGTTCATTGGAATTTGGATGGGGAAAGACACTGTTTTGGTTCTGTTATTGATAACTTTGGATCAGAGATTGTCAGTGCTGAATCCTATTCCATTCACACATTTCGGCATTGTACTCTGGAAGCATTTGTCAGATTAATGAAGTCAAATGGTGCATCTGCTTTGGTTTACAAATAGAAGTTAGTGTAATTTTTTTATATTTAATATTGATCTTAACTTTGTAACTTGCAATTTTCTATTTAATGAAGCCTGTTTGTAGCAGTAACATTTTCTTATCCTAAATCATATTAATTGGAACATAGTGTTTTTGAAAATCAGTGTTTTTCTTTTTACATCTCACTTCCCTTCTTGACAGAAAGGTACTTCTGCACTATCTTTCCTGCTGTCTTTGTATATCAGACATAAAAAGTCATAGGGGATGCATTCCTGTCAAGAAGTACTGCCAAAAAATGTATCTCTGACCTTGGCTCAGAACTTGAAATAGGGCCAGGTATTTAACTCTGCTGCGATGTTATGCATGGACTAGTCATTGGCAAATTAGCAGGCTGCAGAGTAGTGAAAACCTTGAAAGTTAAAGCAAATATATCCTTTATCTAAATTAAAAGTAATTATTTTAAGTTAATTTGGACAAACAGCAGATGTTTCGCATTTTTTGAATCAAAACAAAGCAGTCATTGGAAGCAAGCAAGAGGAAAGGACAGACACAGATCAGCAATGCTTTGTAAATCCTTGACTTTTGCTTCATTACAGCTGTAAATACGATAGTTAATTGCATGGAGGCTTGACGACTTGCAGATGGGCTAACTGTAGAAGAGCTTATGTCAAACTCTAAAATCTCTTCCACCTGGAATTGCTTAGTGTTGTGGGTGAGGTTTTAGCCAGATCGGATCAGAAAAACACGGATTTTAAATATTAACAGGAAAAAAATCCCTCACAAACTTACAATCATACAGCCATGTAGGGTGTTCCTTTACAATGAGAATTTCACTAACTTAAATTTAGCTATTTACAATCAACCTTTAGGATCTGAAAACTCAATTTCACGTGTGTGAAGATATGCAAAATGTTCCAGTTGACAATTTAATGTACAGTGTCTGATTTTAGTGGATGACATGGTATAAACCTTTAATATTATCCTTTGTACTTTTCAAAATTATTAAATGAGCCTGAAACAAAAAAGATAGCTTAATGATGTACACTCTTGTAGCACATCTTCACATTTGATGCTTATAGGAATGATTCCAAGACTACGATCAATAGTCTTGAGAAGGATGTTGGTGTCCTTGATAAAAGTGATAAGCCTGTCTTTTTCAGGGGAATTGATTTTACTATAGATTTCACTAGTTTATTTTTATTCAACATCATTAGTTGAATGATAAAGTCTGAAACAAGTGATGTTAAGTTCCCCAAATGACCTTTGTTTAAGAGAAGAGTGAAAAGACTGTACATCCTAGTGGAGAAGAGTTTTTAGGGATGGAGAAGCCAATTGTCATGGGGTAGGAGGAAGGAAGACCTCTGCCGGGGATTAAATTGAAGAAGGCTTTTACAATATTTTGTCTTTTTGCATTGCTAGCATATGTTTGTGTATATACCGTATACACACTCTCGTGTGATAACTTTATAGTGGTTTTGTGATTGTTTTCAACATTATTTTAATCCGCAGGGAAAGCTTATGGAACCCAGCTTGCAACAATGCAGTAAGAAAGAATGTGATGAGTCCCCTTTCAACTATATGATTCAAATGAACAACAAACTACTCTTGGATATTAGACGTTACTTAAAAAGCTACTATAATGTAAGTATCCAAAAAGTATTCTTTACAATGTTAAATTAATCATCAGTTCTCTAATGGGTACTCCGTTTTTCTTGGGGGTGACAGAGTATTCATTTTGTACAATACTGGTTACTGTGCTTTATAATAGCTACAAAAAACTTCCCCTCCCCCCCATAACTAATGTGATTTTTATTCTTATTAAAATAGATTGATGGATGTTAAATGCCAATTTAAAATACTTCTCGTTTCTAAAATAAATTTTAACATTCCCCAGCCTAGAGGATATGATAGATAAGAACATCTTAAATTTTTGCATATAAGTTATTGGCCATGTTACATATAGAGTAGATCTTTGTATTTTAAGTTTATTTTTTGAAGAAAAGGTGACTGTAATGCATTGAGAAAAATCTATGAAGGTAGGGATTTGAGCATGCAAATACCAACTTTTCTTTTAAACTAAATCTGGTTCAAGATGCATTATTTAATGAACAGTCCATTAATTTGAGAAAAGAGGCCTTGTCCACTAATAATGTTCTGAAGGATGACAGAGATAACTTCTTACTAGCTCTGTGGATTATGAAGGTTTCTTTCTGGCCACTTTGGTACAATTTTTTTTAATCAAACATGTTGAAACCAGACACAAGCATAAAGGTTTTGGCATTTTTGGCATTATACAGTCTCTTCCAAGCAGCATGAAGAAGGCTGTTTAATAGCAAAATGTTACTGTCTATTCTTGATATATCCATTTGTGGTTCAGAAATGTAAATAAAAGATATTGTATGGACTAAAGTGCTCCGTGGCTCTTATAAACTGGACACAACCACTTCTTAGGTATCAAAGTATTCAGATGTCATGGGACTAATTGAGTCACTTTTATAGTGTACAGACAAACTTAATATGAACTTAAGTATGACTCTCTATATACAATGAAAATGTGTATCTACTGAAATGAGTTCATTTTCTTTTTTAGTTGCAACATAAATCATAACTAGATCCTGGGTCAGGTTTATGGTGAGATGGGTTGGGAATGTTTTTGTGAAATGGTAAAGGATATTTGATTCATAACAGTCAATGTGGGAGCTTCAGATGCTCAGCGCTTCTGAAAATAAGGCCTTAGGTGTATAAAGCTAAGTAACCAAAATTACTCTGTTTTTGAAAATTTAGTCTTTTGAATGGCTTACCAAATTGATGGTTCCTTTGGTTGAATATTACAAAACGTTTGCAGGGAAGTACAGTAGTAACATTTTTTTCTAATAGCTCCAGTTTATGCTTATGTTCTAATAGCTCTCACTTGTGTACTGTTTTTTCTTCTGTATTAATTCTTAACACATTATTAAGTAAATGTTTCCATACTTATCACATTGCCAGTGGGGAAAAAAAACAACTCAATTCCTTTAAGAAATTCTTTAAAAAAAAAAAAAAAAAAAATCTCAATTCCTTTATATTTTTTGTAGTATTTGACGGCCCTATTTTCAGAGAGCCAAACAGTTCTTTGCCATGTTTAAATTTAAATTTAGTCACTTAATTACAAGTGCGAATAAGTTGCTCCTTCATATGAAAGTTGAAGGCATTGGCAGCTGGTTTGAATAGGCAACACCATACCGAACATATGGGTTTGAGACCTCATATTTAACCTTCATTTAACCTTAACCTAGCAGAAGCTTCCTTTCAAAGTTCATCTATTTCCAAAATGGACATAATTGTAGTTACGTAATGAAATTTGTTTTATTAAGGCAATATATCAAGGCATGTAGCTTTAGTATAAAAGTTGCTTACCTGCTAAACTTTTCTAGATTTGATGCGTTTAAATTATTATAATTATTTAACAAGTGCTAAGCTCATTTCGAGCACTTAATGTGCTAGAAAACATTACATGCACAGAATGTACAATACTGAGCACATTGAAAGAGACAAATTGCGTTCATGTTAAGGGGAAAGAGTTAGTATTGCACTATGCTCTGTCCATATCAATAACGTCTTGCTATAGGTTTGTTCCACATCATTATGGAATCAAGTTATAAATCAAAATGCAAAGTGCCATTGTTTAAATGCTGCCAAACGATTAGAAAGGTTCATTACATTCTAACTTTTTAAATATCCTTTTCCATGGTCCATAGAAATTGTGATTGAACATAACTAATGAGCTCCTTCATGTGGAAGTTATAGCAGTGTAACAGGGAGTTCCCTGAACTTTTTGATACATTTTAATAGGAATATATTGAGAATTGAGCTTTAGACCAGTTGATCAAATTATTTGTACAGCATTTTGAAGGTAAAAAAGCTGTGTAAATGCCAAGTATCATTATTAGTCTCCAGAAGATTGAGATTACTGTGCTGCCAGAGCTTATTTCCAAATAGAATAGTATTTGTAGTTTGTAAAAAGGAGATTTCTTTGAGTTGGACAGGAAACCTTTATTGTATCCCAGTAATAATTAGAGAGGCAGGTGCTCTGTGAGCTTCATTTTATCTCTTTTATCCAGTATTTCTAATAGCTGTGTAACAGTTGGAGTTGAAAATTTTCAAATGAGATGTTTGGGCTAAGGGAAATATATAATCTTATAAACTATAATGACATACATTCTGAGCAAAACTTTGGATGAAACTTTGAGACTTGGGTGTAGCAGATTGTTGTTGGAATGGCTGCGCCCTTCAGCTGTGGAGGAAGAGAGGTAAAAATTTAATATAGAAAAACAAATTTTTAGTTCACACTTGTATGGCAGATATTACCATTGTTTCTATAGGGATAAAATTGTACCTAAAACAGAAATGTATCTATATGAAAATGTAAAGGCTTTGTTTTAACCTTGAAAATATAGTAAACTACATTTTATGAAGGTAACAGTGCCTAGGTTCTGATGATTTCTTAACGCCTGTTCCAAAGCCCATTTAAATCAATGGGAGTCTTTCCATTGAGTTCAGTGGGCTTTGAATCAGGCCCTTAAGGATTTCAGACCACTCCTCCTTCATTCCTTATTCTGTTTAAGTGCCTTAAAAAGTCCAGCCTTGTAAATTTATCGTGAAAATTTATCAGCTTAGGTATAAAATCTGTTTGTCATGGTGCTGATAAAAATCGAACGATATTTTACTTGTAAAAGACAAAACAAAAGGAACCCCAAATACACACATCATGCAAGTGGGCAAGTAGAACTGTGCAAGCTTGCTATAATTCCTACTGTTTTAACACATGCATTCACCTTTTTGTAAAATACATTTCTTTGTTGCTAAAACCAGCCTGGTTCCATTTGAACACTGAAATATTGTTTAGCTACCACAAACAGCATTTAGCATTATTCCAGTAGTTAATTCCTTAATATTAAATAACATACACCAGCCTTGATCTTAATTATTCATTTGTAACTGCAAATATATTAAGCCAAGATGACATCCAAAGATTTTAGTTTCTTTCCAGAGCTGCATTATTCTTTTGAAAGATTGATCTCAGTTTTTTAAATTCTGCTGCAGAAAAGCAAATAGAGAGAGAGAAATAGCTAATCTAAATTGGGAAATGAAGAGGGCTTTTTTAAGCATGAAAATTTCATCATCTTGTCAGCTGGCAGAATGCCTGCTGTGTGGATTCACAAAGGCTAAGAATTACACTTTCATGAAATTTTCCTCACTAACTGCCCTGGTTAATTTGAAAGATAACCCACTGTTTTAATTCATTCCTCAATTGGGCGGTGCAGGTTTTATTTTTGATCTGACAAAGCATTTGTGTTAATCGTTTTGGCCCTCTACTAGACACTCTTGGGATTGTGCTTTTACAATAAACGTGTCTGTGATAGCTCTTTAGTCTATTATACTTACAATAGATCCATAGAACTGGTAATTAATTCTGTACTGCTTTGGAAAAGGGAAGAATAGGTGTAGCTCTGTCAAGTGCTGCTGGGAAGTTTGTTTAGCTGCTTCATTTTTGAAGTGTTACCCTCAGCCATCAATGAAACATCCATGCTGGAGAGAGGCTAGGACCGAAATCCATGACCATAAATGAGTAAACAAACCCAACTTTTACCTTGAAGAGTGGAGTCACTTAATTTATGGTATTTGCATCTAATTCTTATGTTGAAAAAGTATAACAGAAACTTCCCGTTTAAATATTTGTCTATAATGTGGACACACATTATAGAAAGACTTTGGGGAATAAAGGTTAGCTATTCTATTGCACATCCCAATCCATAGCCATAAGAAAATTGCAGAATCTAATACTTAGCACCCCTAAATACGTTCCTCATATTTCCTTTGGTTATTAAGAGAAGAAATGGATTACCAATTTAATATCCACAAATTGAAGCTAAAAACAGAGTACATTACACGTGCGATCTGACTGATAGCAAAGTTCACCTTGCATTGAGTGGGTTGTTGATGAAGAACTATTATCACACAATCACAATGTTCTTTAACCTGTTCATTTAATGTACACCTGTGGTGCATCAGCAGCTTGTTTGTAGTTAAGGGATACACTTCAATATAAGGAAGTCTCAAGTTTATTTGCTGTTAGTTCACAGTTACTAACACTGTAAAACCTGACTTATGCATCTTTGTTTCATGTACAGTATTTATTTAAAAAAATGCAACTAGCCTTAAAATAAGGTGTAACAAAATGCCTTTATTTCATGGCCCTTGTCCACTGAGCCACTGTACCCCACAGATGGAAGTGAGTTTGAAGGCTATTGAACACTGCTAAATAACTTGGTGCTGTTCTGCTGTGAAAATTCAGTGTTCAATAGCCCTCAAAATTTCTCATTTCTTACCTGTGGTGGGGTGGTCTGCTGCTGGCACATTAGGTCTCAGTATAAAGCATATAGGTACCCTACTTGAAGCTCTCTTGAATTATTTTAGTTTTTGTGTATATCTTGGTTTTTGCATTAATATTTAGCACATTTAGAAAGGTGAACTTTTTAAAACCAAACGCCATTATAAGAAGTTATAAAAAAGCATGTAAATATTGAGATTTCAATACATATCCACATAACAGTACAAAGATAACAGGTCTGGTTCTGAACCTGTTTATCTCCCACACTGCA